ATGGGATCTGATGGGGGCCTACTCTTAGGCCGCTCTCGACAACTAGTATCGGTTGGAGAGTTTGGGGAATTGTTGCTGATCTCCTGATCAGTAAGAGCGATGGTCCGGGGTCTCGCTGGCCATAATTGTGACGCGTGAGCTTTTGTTGTTCGGCTGAACAGGTTTACTTCATACACTTGCCCTTGTAGATGACGTATAATAGGGTAAGGTCCTCTTCTTAGTGGAGCTAATGAGGCGTTGAACTGCTTTGAAGCGTCTGACAATTGGTAGTTTCTTAAATAAACGAGATCGCCCGGTTTGTAGGGAGAAATATCCGTCGGAGTCGTGGCGGTACTCAGATATTTGCCCTGATTTTCTCTGGCTTGAACAACTCTGTCCTTTGGATGTTGATAATTTGAGAAGGGGAGTGTCCAGTCACCAGGTCTTTTTAAATTGGATCCGAAAAGGATCTCACTTGGAGTGAGACCTGTAGCCGCATTTTTTCTTGTTCGGGTGTTAAACAAGATTTCCGTTAAGTGTTGATCCCATCGTTGGTGTTCAGATGTAGAGAAAAGACGAAGTCGCATTCCTTTTTTGATCTCCTGGTTTCTCCTCTCCGTAGGGTTGGCCCTTGGGTGGTAAGGAGGGGTGGTCCAGCAAGATACGTCCCACTTGTCACACATTTTTACCCATTCGGCACTGGTGAATTGCGTACCGTTATCAGTGAGTAAATAACGCGGAAATCCGAAACGAAAGAAAACTTCTTTTTTCAGAACAGCAAGGATCGTTGAAGCCTTTGTTGAACCGATAGGGAATGCTTCTACCCAACGGGAGAATAGATCTGTGACTACGAGAAGATGTGTTTTTCCACGGGGAGTTCGGGGATATGGACCCATTAAATCTAACGCCACTGTTTCCCAAGGTTTCTTTGGATTTCGAGGACGAAGTTGATCTCGCAGTGGTGTTCGTAGTGGTTTACAGCATAAACACAGATGGCAGCTTCTTGCGTAGTTGGTAACTTCTTTTCTCATTTTTGGCCAAAGAAATCTTTCCTGAATTGCTCTGAGGGTTTCCTCGATACCAGGGTGTCCGGCAAGATCCGAATCGTGATATTCAGACAGGACGAGATCTCGTGATTCCTTAGGGACCAAAAATTGGTATTGATCTGGGGAATTTTTATTGCGTCGCCACAAGCCAAGGTCATCCACTCGATGGTCAAGAAAGAACATCTCCTCTGAGTTGGTACGGTTGATGGTGTTCTCTAGTCGTAGCCATTTTGAAACTAGACCCGAGATTTCGGTATCTTGTTGTTGAAAATCAGAAATTCTGTCATACAAACTCGTAGCTTGGATGGAAGTTAATTTGTGGGGTGAAGCTTCTTTCCCGAATGGTAATAGTCGATCATCTTCAGCCATATCTTCATCGGTGATCTTGTCTTCTGGAACCGTTGATAGGGCTATAGCAAGTTCGTCTAAGGCAGTTCTACATTTTTCTTGAGTAAAGCTGTACTCGTTCAACTGACAGGCCCATCGTCCTAGTTTTGCTCGGAGATGTTTGTTGGTATGAAGCCAGTTTAGAGCGTGTGGGTCCACCCGAAGAATAAACGAATTAGATTGCAATAGAACGGTATATTTTTTAAAGGACCAGACTATAGCGAGACAAGTTCGTTCATTTATGTCGTACCGAACTTCTACAGCGGAAAATTTTGCACTAGCGAAGCTGATGACCTTCCGACCTCCGGTAACTGGTTCTTGATAAAGAGCAGCTCCCATTCCTACGTCACTGGCGTGAACTTGAAGAATCAAGGGTAACTCTGGATCAGGCCTATCCAAGTTTAAAGGGTTTCTGAATAGGTTTTTGACTTCCCGGAACGCTTGATCTGCTTGAGGAGGCCACTTCCATTTTCCAACATTTTTTCCAAGGAGTGATGTAAGAGGGGCTGTGATGAGAGAATAATTGGGGATATATTCTCGTAACCAGCCGCATACACCCAGAAATCGTTGAAGGTCTTTCTTAGATGATGGAATTTCTGCTTCCAGAATTTTTTTGACGTGATCGGTCTGTGGTTGATTAACTCTATCGGTGACCACATAACCGAGATAGTCAACAGAGGTGACACCGTATCTACTCTTTTCTATTGAACATTGGAGCTTGTGAATAGAGAGTCGTTCCAACACTAATCCAAGGTGGTTCACATGATCTTCCCAGCAGTCGGAATAGATGATGATGTCATCCAAATATACCATGCAGAAGACGTGAAGATAGCCAGTGAGAACAATTTGGGTCATTAAAGTTTGGAAGGTGTTTGGGGCGTTCTTCAACCCAAAAGGCATCACCCGGTATTGATAAGTTCCTCCATCCGGTAAGGTGAAAGCCGTGTATTTTTTGGAAGCTTCATCCAACGGTACTTGCCAGTATCCTTTTTTCAAGTCGATCACAGAGAAGACTGTAGCTCTTCCCACCTCCTTGAGAATGTCATGGATCCGAGGGATTTCCGGAGTTGCATCCTTGGTGAACGAATTTAATTTTCTGTAATCGGTACAGAATCTTAATTTTCCGGCCCGATTGGAGGCAATGACGACCGAAGAACTGTAGTCGGCATCTGAAGGTTCGATGATTTTTTGCTTCAGCATTTCATCCTTTTGTTCCATCATGAAGTCTCTTTTTTCCTGACTGCAGCGGTAAGGACGAATTCGAAATGGCTGGTGAGGTAAAAGCTCGATTTTGTGGACCATGCAATTGGTTTGAGTCAATGGACCCACAGGGTTAACGGTTTCCCGAAACCGAGACAAAACATTTAAAATTAATGTTCGGTAATCTGTCGGAATGTCAGATACCGCCTTAATTAAACAAGGATCAGGATCCTCTACCAAGTAAGAAGGAGTTTGGTTTTCAAAATAGATTGTATCTCGGTTTTGTTTTCCCACATGGATACATCGGCGGGATCGGTCATAGACTACTTGGTGCTCCTCTATCCATGGGTCCCCTAAGATCATGGGATTGGAAATTTGATCCGAAACTAGGAACCTTGCTTCCATAGTCCGGTTAGTGGTTTGAAATTTTAATTTAATTTCTCCGAGAATATTAAGGGTTACTCCTTTTTTTGCTACCTCTACTCTCTCGGTAAAAGGGGTTAACTTATTTAACTGTAGGGGAGAGAGGTAAGAGGGTTGAATAAAATTGTCGGTAGAGGCCGAATCAAACAAAACTCTAACTATTTTATCATTAAATTGAACAGAAAAAATTGGAACGAATGTTCTTTGAGTACATATACTCGAAAGGTGAGCTATTGGGGGGCAGCAGGGCCTCGAGTTGCCCCCTTTCGCCAGTTTCCCTGTTGGTCGGACGAAGTCTGCTGTTCCGGGGAAACTCGTTTGGGGCAATCACGGACGAAGTGACGATCTTCACAAAACCAGCACTGGGGAAGTTGATTCTTCTTGCCTTCAATGAGTTGAGAGGTAGTAGCACTGGTAGGATTCGAAGAGGGTTGTGCTCGAGGTTTGTCTGAACGTTTATTAGTACGATCAACATCTGCTTCGTCGAACTCAGCTTCAACTGCGCGTGTCATCAACGTTCCAAGGTCTTGAGGTTGGGAAGCTCTGATCCCCTGCCGAACTTGCGGACGTAGAAGCTCGAGTAGCGTAGCCACTTTGACTGCTTCCGGTGTATCCGGTTGTAACCGCTGGAAAAGTAGGATCTTCTTTTGTAAAAATACTCCCACCGGCTCTTTCTCGGTTTGACGTTGAGAGTACAGCTGGGATAGCAGCCGACCCGTGACAACTGGTCCGTCGTATTTGTGAAGGAACAATTCGCTGAACCTAGCCCACTCGAAGGGAATTCCTTTGTAAGTGTCCCACCACTTTTCTGCTGCGCCATGAAGTCCTTCAGCAGCAAGGTCCACCTTCTGTTGATCTTGAGTGACCATAGTTACAAAATATTCCTCCATCCTTCGTAGGAAGTCTCGAGGATCTTCATGTTCCTTGCCGTGAAATTCCGGCTTTACCACGGTGGGATTAGTGGTGATGATCTGTAGTAGGTTTCTCAGCTCATCCCAATTTACAAGGGGTGACTGCCTTGGTTGATTGGCACTCGGATTTACTGGACGTGGATTCCCGACCATAGGGGGTTGATTTCCAAGACTCGGATTTACCGGACGTGGAGTCCCGCCAATAGGGGGTTGATTTCCAAGGTTGCCTGAAGTAATTCGTCTTGAGAATCCAGGGATGAGATCACTGTAGGCTGGCGGTGAAGTTCTCTCAGCTGCAGGTGTACGGTATCCAGGAGGCTGCGTTCCGGACGGGCCTGGTGTCGGTTCTTCCGTTCGCCGAGACATCATGGAATGGGGAGGGGGGGTATTTGCAAATCCCGCAAAATCGGATTGATCAAGAAGAGAATTTGAAATAGAGGTATTAGTTGGAGGTGTTCGTTCAACAGGCATTATTTTTCACCTTTGAAACGAAAAACGAAAAATATTTTAAAGGAGGGCGCCACCAGATTTAATTGGTCTGGACCATTGGAGGATTTAAAACAATAAGAGCTCCACAGGGTGGAGAGAAAAGAAAAAAAAATATTTTTTTTTTTAACAATGTGCACCACAGGGGGTGATTGGAATTTTATTTTGAGCTAAGTCCCACAGGAGAGGGTGACTTAGAATTTTCTACCACAGGGGGTAGTTGGCATTTAATTTTAATCTAAGTCCCACAGGAGAGGGTGACTTAGAATTTTTTCCACAGGGGGAAGAAATTTTTTAAGAAATAATTGGAAGCCACAGGGGGCGGTTTTTGAAAGAGGAAAAATTAATTTCCTCACTGGAGAGCATTTAAGAAAAGAAAAATTAATTTCTTTCGAGAAGAGCATTTGAGACAAGCAGGGTGGGTAAAAGTAACTTTTTTAACTCGGGCCCCACGTTGGGCGCCATTTTGACATGGGCGAATTTCCCTTTTTTTTTGGTTAGGGGAATTCTCGTCAAATTTTTTTGTTTCACGAAAATAATGTGAAACCTTTAAGAGGGCAGTTTGAATTTTTATACTAGGGGATGGAAAGTTTTTTTTTAACCCTTATTGGGACTCGTAACCCTCTAGTAAGGTGGAGAAATCGGTGTGGTCGAACTCCGGACTATAGCAAGTGGAGAACGCCGGAGAACTTCGTGGGGAACCAATGCAACCCTCTGAATTGCATTGTGCAGTCACTGCTGCAGCGAAAGCCTTAGCTTGTCGAACCCTATCATGGTCGGCGAGCGAGATAGGGGGAAGGTGCGTGCGGGGCAGAGAGGCGGACAGTGGGGGCCTTAGTACTGCAGGCGGCGGGGGGGAGTTGATTCGGTACGTGGCACCGTGTCGGTCGAGAGCGATGAGCTGGCACCGTAGATAGGAGAGATTTGGCAGGCAGGCGGCGGGGGACCCAGGGCGGCTGGAGAATAGCTTCCTTCCTTCCCTCCTTCCTTCCTTCTGGCTGCTGGTCGAGGCTCGTAGCATGGAAATGTAGGAAATAGGTGTAAGGAGAAAAATCAAGCTAGCTTGTGTGATTTCAAGTTTGCTTTTATTGCTCAAAATCAAACTACATTCGACCTCTCTGTGCAATGAGAGGTCTGACAATAGTTCTCGAAGTACATCGTTCGGTGATCCGCTTATATGTCGACGGTGAGCGAAGTCACATTCGCACGAACCGTACACGCGCACCACACAGCACTTCATGTAATTCATTACTCAATTTTCGTTGCTTTACCGGTAAGTGGCCGAGAACAGGCGCCACCTACGGTGAAAATACCGTAAGGTCGCTCATTTTCCAGAATAGATCAAAAGATAATAATGAGAGGAAAATTCCCTCATGTCAATGCAAGCCTTTCCCCTAATAATAATGCAAAAAAGTGAAATTAAAAAAATCCGAATTCTTCAAAAATATTGATTATTTTTATTTATATTTTTCAAAATTTCAATTATTTTAAAAAGATTTTACCAAATTTCAATTGCTTGAGAATTTTTCAATTGGATATAATTAAGAAACTATTATCTTCCAAAAATTATTTTAAAATAATTAATTGTAAGAGTCATAAACCCTTTACAAAGTATAAAGATATTGACAAGAATTTGTCGCATTTTAACATTTATATAATTACATATATATTAATTACTAGCTGTCGTACCCGTCTTCGACGGGTTTTAGTTTCTACCAATACATTTAACAGTGTGTCTACTTTTTATTATCAAATTAGTTATTTTAACCAATTCAAATGCAGAGAACAATATTTGTCAATTTGTAGTACTTTAATTAATTTATGTATTAAAAATTTATCAAATTTTCCACGACTGCTAAAACCTAACATAAGACCTATATTTTAGGCTGAAAGTAGGGCTTAAATTTTGACTTGGGTCTGTTTTCATAAATATTATACATCAATAAAAATTAAAGTTAAAAGCGAATTAATATAATGAAACTTTTTCTTAATTTGATAGGAAAATTCCCGGTTCGGCAAATTCCCAGCTTTTTCCAGTTTTTCCCGTTTGGTAGATACCCTGTTAAATGTATTAGTAGAAACAGAAAACTGTCGAAGACGGGTACGACAGCTAGTATTATAATCTATATTTATATGAACTTAAGAAAGAGTATTTTCATAAAATAAGTAAATTTTTATAGCCATTTGTAGATTTATTTATGGATAAAATCAAGTAAATTTAAATTTGACAAAAAAAGATAAACCGTGAAAAATTTCGACAAAGCAGGAAATTTTGTTAAACAAAAATAGACACTGTGTTAACTTTTGTCTTCACATTGCTCAAAACATCTCTAAAAGTTAAATCTAGAGTTAAAATAAAAAACGTTTTAACATATAAGTTTTTGCCTAGTGGCATAATATGCTTGTATTGTATCAAAGGTGACTTACAATTCTTGACATCCGGCAATATCATTTTAATCATAAAAAATTTCCATGTTCAATATTTCTGAAGTTCTTGAAAATTAGCTATAATAATCTTCGAATTCTTTCATTCAGTCTGTCCAGAGCGTGTACATTCCATCCGCAGTGAAAGAGAAAAGTTGATAGAGAGAAAGAGAGGGAAGTATCGCCTGTCCTTTTAGTTTAGAGTGGGAGGGAAAGAGAGGCGAATATTATTATTATATCTACATATATATATATATATATATATATATATATATATATATATATATATATTAAGTTAGTCTTTCCTTATAATAGGGTAAGTGATACAGTCTACGGCCACTTAAGGACAGACCGGAACATTTTATTTTTTTTCCAAAAAATGGTCAACTTTTCGAATTTTTAACTATTTGTTATGAGTTCGTGGAACTTTTGCGATAAAAATTTGCTAATTTTCTTTAACGAATGATCATTATGCAACGAAATAAAACAATAATTTCACAAAAAGTAGAAAACATCTATAGTCGGCCATTGATACAATAGTCGGACACAACAGATACAGTAGTCGGCCACCATAAATATTAATAAATATTAGCTAATCTACGAAGTTTTTTATTTAATTTGATATTAGAACGTAAAATCTAGAGTCTTTTTGTTGAAAATAAATATTATTTTGAAAGAAACGTTGTTGTATTCTTTTATTATTACGTGTTTAAAGTCACGCATTATAGGTTATGTCAGATGTATACACTAAGTCTCGTCGCTTACTAAGCACCTGTCAAATGTACCATAACGTGAAATTTTATTTTCTCGAATTATTTTAAAGCACTTAAGAGTTTTTACTATGCAATATTTTTGTTTATCGCAGAACTTTAGGTTATCAGGAAAATTAAAAAAAAATTTCACCTTTCGACATTAGTGATTTGTTTTAATTTCACGGAAAATAAGATAAAGTGGCCGACCACTGGGGGGTGGCCGAACTTACTATCACTTACCCTATATTCTCTTCACAGTGAGAGAGAAAGAGGGGGAGGGAGGTATTGTCTCTCCTTTTAGTTTAGAGTAGGAGCGAACTCTTTCGCTTTCGAATAGTTAAGAAAGTAATGCCTACTTTTTGGGTTTAGAAGGGGGTATCATGTTTTCTCCATTTTCCGTGTCAGATAGAAAGAGAGGAACAGAATTTGATAGGGGAAAGAAAAGTGGGGAATTTCACTTTCAAGCCAAAATACGAAAAGGGCGTCTTATTTCCTTATTGGCTAATTATTTTTCTTTTCTCACTCACAGATAGATTAAGGAGTGAATGAGAGGGAGATCGAGAACGAGGTATGAGTGAGAGGTATAAATTTAATCGATGTTCCATAAACCAAATGGACAATTTTTCTCCAATTTTTGACCCCCACTCCGCCTCTGGTTGTGAACAATCGCAAATATTTTTAAAAACTAATTCGTATAATTATTTAAGATTCAATTATCTTCGAACAATGTAAATAAAAATTTATAAATATATTTACTTTTTGGACTTATTGAATTTTTTGAGAAATTATGGTCTTGTTTATAATTAAAATTCTCCAAAAATTTGATCATTTTTATTAAAATTTTTAGTAAAAATTCTATTACTTTTAAAAGATTTCACCAAATTTTAATTGTTTTCTTTAAAAAAGTTTTTGTATAATTAAAAAAAAACTAATTAATTTTTTGATGAATGTCAATTAAAATTTTGCATATAAATGTTTTTTTCCCAAAATTTTAAAAATAATTCTAAAATATTATTGTTGTATGTATTTAGATTTTTGGAAATATAAATTGAAAATATTAAATTTTAAAAAATTAGAAGCTAATTTTCAATAAATTTTATTTTTAAATTGGCCTTTAAAGACTTTTTATTCTTTAAAAATTAATTTTTAAATTTATAACAAAATACTTAAAAGAAATGAATTATTTTTCAATTAAATTTTACAAAATTTCAACTATTCAAAAAGATTTTTATTATACATATATTTCAAAAATTTAATTATGTTTAAAAAAATGATTCAAAAACAATTTTTTAATAATTTGTTTATAGTTACTTTTCGCATTATCAAAATCAAAATAACTTGCACTTTTTTACTAAAATTTGTGGTATTTTGATGTTTCAAGTTTGAAGGAAAAGACGAAAAAGTGGCAATTTTTTAAAGTAAGTCGAAAAAAGTCTCAATTTTCTTAATTTCCCTGAAAAATTTTTTATGACATTTCCCTGTCTATGGTGTTAATATTCAGTGGGGCAAAAAAGCCATACTAACGGTTTTTTACTCTTGTGACTAAATGAATCAACCGATTTCATTTTTCAATGAGTTGTTTGAAAGATAATTTAATTGTGCAACTTTTTCCCAGAGACATCTATACCTACTTTATCTTTCATTGTTTAGTTGCTGCGTTAACTTTAAAAAATTTTGTCAACTGACCGGTTTGACCCACCTCCTGGGGTAAACCGACCAGTTAGGTTTTTTATCTATAATATTGCATTTGTATAATCTACTATAACAATAAACATAAAGAATCATGTGAATAATGGTTGTAATAATGTTAATAATAATACAGGATTAGATTTTAATTAAATAAATAATTTTTTTAATAACAAACAAAAATCTAATCTAATATGGAACAAAATTTTTACTTTATGCAATTGATCTTAATTTTGTCACTCGGTGGTTTTTAGGGTCGCTGATTACGAATACGATGTTTGTTTTCAAAATTTCAAAGTGGCTAATATGATATGGGAAAGAAAAATTAAAAAAAATTTCTATACACGCTCGCTGGTCGTGAGTCGACGCAAGTACTAAAACAGAAGTCAATTGAGGAGCTGGATTCTAGAACCGGCTCTTCGCTCGGACCGTAAGCGCTAATACCAGTCGGGTGGCAGTGAGCGCCTCTGGGCCTGTCACTGCTACCCGACTGATATTAGCGCGTGCATTCCGAGCGAAGAGCCGGTTCTAGAATCCAGCTCCTCAATTGTCAATGAGCGCTCCTAGGACATTTATAGCTACCTGACTGGTATTAGAACTCGAGTAGCTTAGTCACATTTTTATATACACACAATAAAATAAGGTCTTGAGTATCAGAAGACAAAAACAGAAATATCGCGCGCCCGTAGCTCTGCTAGTATTAGATTAATTTGATAAATAATTCTAAATTACACTATTTTGACGTCAAAATATTAATCAGAGACTCCAAAAATACTACTCAATTAAACTTCATAGTAATTAGTATCGATTTTTTGATATTGAAAATATTTTTATATTTACTTATAGGATAGTATTTTTTGCAAAATTATGCTAAAATCTGACTAAGTAACATAATATTCAATTTTAGAAAGTTTAAAAGCTATCCATAAAAAAATGTGAAATTTGGAAATTTTCCATTTATTGAAGTTTTTGAAAATATTTTTATATTTACATCTTAGTTGTAGGATAGTATTTTTTGCAAAATTATGCTAAAATGTGACCAAATAACACGTAATACTCAAATATAGAAAGTTTAAAAGCAATCCATAAAAAATGTAAAATTTTGAAATTTTCGATTTTTTGAAAACATTTTTATACTTACATATTAGTTATAGGACTTTATTTTTTGCAAAATTATGCTAAAATGTGACTAAATAACATGTAATACTCAAGTATAAAAACTTTAAAAGCAATCCATAAAAAAATAAAAAATTTTGAAATTTTCGATTTTTTTGAAAAAATTGAATATCTCCCGTTCTAATTAATATTTTTTAAATCTGTAAATTTATAAACCTTCCTTGGGCCAATACCTAATAACCTACCAAGTTGGACTTAAATCGATTTACATGTTTTTGTGTGATTGGTGTACAAAGTTTTTGTGACAGACAGACATACATACGTACATACATTAAATTTTTTAAGAATATTTTTGGAATCTCTGATGTCCATAATAACTAATCATCTTAACATTTTGAAGTTTTAAGCAATGTACAGACATTGATTTTATTAATAAGGATATATTGGCGATTCCACGTGAGATTTCGTTCGACCTCTTATAATCGGCCAAAAATGTTTTTTTCCATTCGGTATGGAAAAAAACAGATACTTATTTTTTTATTTATGTTTAATTGTCAAAATTTTTGAGTTATGAATTGTTTTATGTTATAGATTCCTTCGCGAATTGATGACGCTGATTTAGAGCGGAAAAGAGGAGGAGCTGGCTCGGATGAAGAGGGTAAAGGAATTAGCGGTGCTCACAGACCACATCGATGTACTATTCCATCATGTGGAAAAGAATTTAAATTGAAAGCTCATCTTAGTCGTCATTACGCCAGCGCTCATGGTGTCGATTTGCGTGGAGCTGGATCAGGTAGTGGTGGCGGTGGTGGTAACGGTGGCGGCGGCGGTTCTCCACGTCCTGTTATGAAAACACGGTCTGCCTTTTATTTGCGGACATCGGCATTAGCACGTGCAGCTCGTAGACTTTGTGCAGCACAATTACGTACACGTCATGCTGCGCGAGCTCCCCATCAGCCTGTAAATGCAGCGCCACTTAGACATTTGTGTGCTTCACCGCAATTAACGTCAAAAAGTTCAACTGAACTTCGAATTTTAGCGAGAGCCGTTCGACCACGATCCCGTCCTCGTGTCACTGACATTGCGACTCGTCTAGGTGATCATCCATCACCAAGACAACCTGGCGAGTGGGACTGGCTTGCTCTCACGTCACCAGCACAGCGCAAGCAACCGGATCGTGTCTCGTTTCCAAGACCTCCAAAAGCACCAGGTTTGTTTTCTTCAATGTACTTTTTCATAATTTCATCTTAGAAACTAACTCAAGTAGGAGGACTAAATTTTAAAAATATCATTTTTAGATGGTAGTTTGCTGTACGAAAGAATACCCAACAAACCAGAATTGGATAGATTGCCATTAACACCTCCTCAACCGCAGCCAGCCATGCAAATTCAACAAACAATTTTAAAACGCACAAGGCCTTTCGATGAAATTAATGGTTCCGATGGTAATTCTTTGAAATTTATGTGTGATTTCGAGATGAATTTAAAGAAAATATTACTCAAAATGTAGAATTTATTTTAATATGAAATTTCGTCCAACCGACTTAAACAATCAAAGTAAATTAATTTTATGAAAATCTCGTGATTATTGGAATAATAATAAAATAATAATATAGGGTAAACCAGACAGTAGTCGGCCACTTTTCAATTTTGAATAGCTATAAAACCGTATGAGATAAAAATATTTTGTTTGTTGCTGATAATTTCTAAGGTGATCATAAACAAATCTAAGCTTTTGTAATTGAAAAAAAATTTTTTTTTACGGTTTTTGAAAGCTTTTTTAAGTAGCCGATTACTGTCGGTTTAGGTGGCCGATTACTGTCGGATTCTTACTTGTTTATTTACTAATTTTTTTAACGAATAGAAATTTTTTTTTCATAAACATGATTGGTTTAATAGTTTTGTGTGATCGTAAGGAACAACATCACATAAAAGAATTCGAAAAAAATATGAATTGCACTTTTAAAACAGTGTAATTAACACTGTTTTAAAAGTGCAATTCATATTTTTTTTAGATTGCTTTAGGTGGCTTACTACTGTCGGATTCTTACTTTTTTTTGTAAATTTTTTTAACGAATTAGAAATTTTCTTTTGTAAACATGATTGGTATACTAGTTTTGTAGGAACATTAGGAACAATTATACATGGAAGAAATTTTAAAGAAATTTTAATTGTAATTTTTAAACAGCATTCATTAACCCTCCGTCACACACCTAGGGAGGGATTCCCTCTACGGTTTCAGTATTTTTTAAATAACTTTTGTTTTCCTCATTGCAAAATAAAATCAGTTTCTATACCTTTCGACAATTTACTCCTCAACACATTTCTAAAAAAAAACATTTAGTTTAAACATAATTAATATTTAATTATGAAGCTTCAAAGCCAGAAAAAACTCGAAAAAGTGAGGTTATGTTAAATAAAAAAATCAAGTTTTCAAAACATTTTTTGTTCCACTGTTAGTTAATGACAAAATTATATTATAAATATAATTAAAATGAATTGTTTAATGATTTTTTTGCTTATTTGTTAATGTTACATTTTTTTTACATGTCAAGTGGAATTCCTTTGAAGATGTGCATTCGTGTAATTAATTTTTATTTTTGAGACCGAAAATTAATTTTATAATTTAGAATAATTTACAACATATTTGTAAGTTTGTGTTAAAACTAAATTTTTGTTGATTCCTTTGTTTATGTTGTAATGTTGCTTATTTTACAATGTGGTGAGGGATTCCCTCTAAACGTGTGTAAAGTCGTAATTTTTTCTCATGTGTGTGACGGAGGGTTAAAAAGATTTTCTTAAGTGTCCAACTACTGTCTGGTTTACCCTAATATATAAATAATAATAATATAAAAGGAAAAATATGGGCAAAAGATAAATGCAAAAAAATAATAAAATGTGTTAATTAAACTGAATGACATTATTTTGTTGTGTATTTCGTTTAGGACGATACTTATATAAAAAAATTAATTTTTTTTACCGTTAAAATTAATAAATTTTAGTACTATTTTTCAACAAACAAAATTTACAATTATTTTCTTGCATTGCTTTTACAACCAGGAACTGAACAACTCAATTTCCGTGCAGAAAAGAATATTCAATAAACAATTTTATTAAAGAATATTCTTTATTAAAGAATATTCAATAAACAACTGCCGAGTGTATCGTTTAATTTGATTGACAAAATTAAAAATAAAAGAAAAAATAATTTTTATTTTTTGAAGGTATTGCACTAAACGTAGGAATACCTGGTGGACCACCACCAAAAAGAATTCACCATTCGCAGACGTTACACGCAAAACACTTGATCGAGCATGCGACTCCAACGACATTGTCCGTTGTGCCACCTCTAAATGGACGAGCTGCACACGCCCACGCTATACCTCATGACCCACCTCTCTCTAGAAGTAATGCTCGGAAACAAGTAATTTCGTGGATGGATGCTCCAGATGATGTTTATTTCAGAGCCACCGATCAGACAAAGTAAGTTTTAAATTATTTTAAACAAAGTTTTAAAATAATAACAACAATACCTGGAACATAAAATCAAAGAAATTTCATAATTTACATACTATGAACGTTAGAAGTACATGTGCGTCTTTTTGGCTAAAGATCGATTAAGTTACTCAAAAAGTGTAATTTTTCTATAAAAATTGATATAAAAACCCAAATTTCTTGGTTTTTTATTTCAGATCTTAACATTTTCAAAAAAACGGACCTCCCGTTTTGGACTCCAAAAGTTGCCTGCTCTATTGACCAATAAGAAAAATGCGAGAAGTCATGCATTTTTCAGAAATTATTTTTTATTATTTTATTATTTCACTATTTGTAATAACAAATTTCAGAGCTTTCAGAAATATTGCAGTGCAGTAGAACTTAAAAATTTTGCGCCAAGAAGACTAGAAAACAGGAGAGATAGCTTGGCAATAATGGTGGGGGCCACAAGTGCAGGTTGAATGGGAGTTGGCTTTGAAAAAGTACAATGACCGGTTGACAAATTTCAGCATTCTGCGCACATGAACACGTGTTTCAATATTAATTTAATCAATTACATGCTTTATTATGCAAATACATGCTGTATTTTAATGTCAGAAATTCATTGAGCGTGTTTAAAATAAGTCGGCTTTTTAAAGCTATTTACAAAACACTTATAGTATTTCTTACAGTTTTTTATTTTTTTCAATTGGATAATTAAAATTTGTATAGGTACATATTTTAAATTAAAAAATTTTTTTTTAATATTTTGGTTCATTCAGTCTTTTTTCTTCCTCGCGAGGAAGCTTTGTAGTCGTTTAATTTACAAAATTTTTAAAAACCCTTTTAACAAATTTTCTTCTATATGGGACTATGTTATATAAGACCCTGAACAATTGTCCGGATGTATGTATGTGTGTGTGGGGATCCCGATTTTTGTGAACACGATAACTCGAAGAGGTTTTAATGAATTTGGCTAAAATTTACCAGGTATATTTATCATAAAAATATCTCGAAATGGATTGATAAACTTGAAAAAATTCTCAGAAAAAACTGTTTTTGCTTCCTCGTGAGGAAGCTTTGTAGTCGTTTAATTTACAAAATTTTTAAAAATCCTTTTAACAAATTTTCTTCTATATGGGACTATGTTATATAAGACCCTGAACAATTGTCCGGATGTATGTATGTGTGTGTGTATGTGTGTGTGTGTGTGGATCCAGATTTTTGTGAACACGATAACTCAAAGAGGTTTTAACGAATTTGGCTAAAATTTACCAGGTATGTTTATCCTAAAAATATCTCGAAATGGATTGATAGACTTTAAAAAATTCTCAAAAAAAAAATTTTTTTTGACTTTTTTCTAAAAAAAATTTTTTTTCAAAAAATTTTTTTTAAGTTGGTTATTGAAGTTAATAAATAATAAAATCTTATTCTTTGCATCAAGACGAATCGATTGGTATATAAAAAGTATAAATTGTATGAGAATTTACAGAGTTAATCACAATTAAAGCTGAAAAATTCGCGTTTTTATCAAAAAATGAGTGCTTTCCGCAAAATTATGTTGCCGTATAAGAAAATCTTACTCATTTATTTCTAAAATCTTATTCTTTGCACCAAGACGGATCGATTGGTATATATAAAGTATATATTGTATTTAAATTTATAGAATTAAAACCAATTATAGGCAAAAAATTTGCACTTTTAATAGAAATTCATTTTTTCTTAAAAATCATGTTGCTGTACAATAAAATGTTATTATTTATTGAAAAATAAATCAAAAATATTATTCTTTGCATCAAGACGAATCGATTGATGTATATAAAGTATATAATCTATTGAAAAATATAGAATTAATTACAATCAAATTTGAAAAATTCACTTTTTTACTAAAATTTTTTTTATTTATTTAGATTCATATTACTGTTTAAGAAAATTTTATTCTTTCTATTAAGACGAATGCACTTTATTTTATAAATGTTAAATTGTATTAAAAGTTATTTAAATTTTTAAGTTGGTTATTGAAGTTAATATATAATAAAATCTTATTCTTTGCATCAAGACGAATCGATTGGTATATAATAGTATATTAAGCAACAAAAGGATAAAGGCAGCCATTTCTTTACGGTGATTTCTTTACTTGTTCCGGTCTCGGGGCGCCCTCGACCATCTACTCGTGTCACAAAAATCATCGTAAAGAAATTGGCTGCCTTTATTCTCGTGTTACTTACGATATTTTTTATTCCTAATGCACAAAAGTGGCGATTTCAGATAGCAGACGACAGGGAGTAAAAGTCATTCACTTGTTCGATTTGTATGAAAATGGTGGCCGTTTTCTCCCTTGGGCAAGAAAAATGCATGTGAACAGCTAATTTTCTTGCCCATGGGAGAACACGGCCGCCATTTTCATACGGTCGAAGAAATGAATGACTTTCCTCCCTATCGTCTGCTATCAGAAAGCGCCATTTTTGTGCATGTGGGATAAAAAAAGTATAATGTATGAGAATTTATAGAGTCAATCCCAATTAACGCTGAAAAATTCGCATTTTTATCAAAAAATGAGTTCTTTCCGCAAAATTATGTTGCCGTATAAGAAAATCTTTCTCATTTATTTTTAAAATCTTATTCTTTGCACCAAGACGGATCGATTGGTATATATAAAGTATATATTGTATTTACTCTCTAAATCTGAATACAGTCGGGCCTCCGAACTGAACGCTTTCAAACTGTACGCTGTCGCCAAACTGTACGCTGGCTTTAGTTTTTAAGTGCTCCACAGTGTACGGTGGCGCTATTAAATTCAGTGCCGTATATTTGAAAATGTTGCCTTTTAAGGAAGAATCTGAGGGACAGTCAAATAATAATAATAAGAATAGTATATATTTTTATGATTTTAATTAATTTTAAATCTAAAATTATGTATATTATAGTCCCAGACGATAAATGAGGAGCAAGTTTTCAAAACTTGATAAATTCCTATTTTCTTATTATTTCGAGAAATCGAAATAAATGACTTTCCTGACATAACCACTCAGTTAATTTCAAACTAAAAAATTTGTAATATTTAATATTTGTAACAATGTTTTTATATTTAATACGTTCTGTTTTTAATAAAACTTTCACATAATAAAGTAACTTTAAGGTTTTGGTAATTTGTTCTAATAACAAACATAAAAATTAAAAGTCAATTTGGTTATGTCAAAAAGTTTTTAAATTGAAAATTCGCTGTTAATATTTTTTTTTTTAATTTAGCAGGGACATGACGATTTGTGAGATATTTAAATTATTAAATTTATGTTTATCTCGATTTAAAAAAAAATATATTTATCAACTTTTGAAAACTTGCTCCTTAAATATATAAGTGTACAGTCCTGAAAATTAAATAGTGGGAATGAGTTCGTCAGCGTACAGTTTGAAATCAAGTGGAGGCGTTATTTCTGGGGTACCGTACAGTTCTGCGGCCCGACTGTATGTGAAATTTTACTTATTGTACGTTATAAGTCGTCTTCTTGATCAACAAGTGCATATATACACTTATAAATAAGTGGATTTTTCACTTATTCTGAGTTAAATTTCACTTATTATAAGTGTATATGCACTTATTGAACGAGAGAGCGACTTATAACTTACAAATATGTGAATTTTCACATATTCAGATTTAGAGAGTAAATTTATAGAATTAAAACCAATTATAGGCAAAAAATTTGCACTTTTAATAAGAATTTATTTTTTCTTAAAAATCATGTTGCTGTACAATAAAATGTTATTATTTATTGAAAAATAAATCAAAAATCTTATTCTTTGCATCAAGACGAATCGATTAATGTATATAAAGTATATACATTCTATTGAAAATTATAGAATTACACATTCCTCGAACTAGGTCCGTAAATCCCGTAAAAGTCCGTAACTTTGCTTGAAGTCCGTAAAAGTCCGTTTTTTTGAAAAAAGGTCCGTAAAGTCCGTAATTCGATTGAAAAAGGTCCGTAAAGTACGTAAGTTATACGATATAATTCGGATAATTTTAGAGAAATTACAAATGATTGAAGGAATTCAATTATTTTCAAAAGTAATAAAATTCTTCGCAAAAATTCAATTATGTTCAAAAATTTTTTTAAATTCTCGTTAAAATTTTAGAGATAATTAAATTCTTCTCCACAATATCAATTATTTTCAAAAATTTTAATAAAATTCTTGGAAAAATTTCAATTATTTTCAAAAATTTTCCCTAATTTAATTATTTTTAATATCTACTATTTTAATAAAATTTTGCAAAAGAATTCAAATTATTTGAAAATTGATAGATACAATTCTTTAAAAAAATTCAATTTTAAGAAACATATGTGACTGTCCACGAGAAAACAGGGCTTAGGCCCAAAAAATAAATTTTGAGTTTTTTATGGTAATCGACAGATTTTATGTTGCTTTTTCAAATGCAAAAGTCAAAAGTTAAAAATATCAATTATTTTCGACAATATACCGTTTTAAAGCTGGGTATGTCAAGCGTAGTTAACTTCAATCGTCGACTGTCCACGACAAAACACGGCTTAGGTCCAAAAAATCAATTTGAGTTTTTTATGGTAATCGACAGATTTTATGTTGCTTTTTCAGATGCAAAAGTCAAAAGTTAAAAATATCAACTACTTTCGACAATATATCGTTTTAAAGATGGGTATTTCAAGCGTAGTTAACTTCAATCGTAGTACTTCAATCGCTCGCCCTGTGAAATTCACGTTTGGGAGCTAAGCCCTGTTTTCTCGTGGACAGTCACATATGTAAATATTCAATAAATTTTCAATAAATTGTTTTTTTTGTATTTAAATAATGAAATTCTCGTAGAATTTTCTTATAAAAATTGATTTATAAATGGATTTCAGTTAAAATTTTAGATTATAATTGAATATTAAAAGTATTAGAGCGTAAAGTTTTAGAAATAATTAAATTTTGAAAAGGTTTCAGATACAAATCTTTGAAAATTTGAATTTTTCATATTTTTAACTAACAATTCTGTG